CGATATAGAATATAAAATTGTGTATCAAAATAATGCCCTTCAGATCTCATCTCTTTTTCTCCTGGAGCTGTTTTTCTGCTTTATCCTCATTCTGTATTTGGGTATGTGGAAGCTCTTACCCATCCTGGTTAATCTCAAAGCCCTAAGTAGGAGCAGCCCAATTTTGGACTCGGATGGGAGACCACCCAGAGTGGGAAAACCTTTCTAAAAGAAGGAAACATCAACCCCCTTCCCTATTGTTGCCAAGAAAACACCATGGACGTCTCCAGCACTCGATTTGAGGGGGGTCTAAATTTCCCCAGCTAGGGGACAGCACTGAGCCAAATTTGGCTGATCTTGAGAAAGGGACGAGGGACCACCAGGAAATGTATTTATTTATTTCATCCAGTTTTCAGGCTGCTTGAGTCCTCAACAACTCTGGGCAGCTTACCAATAAAAGAAGAAAAAATACATATAAAAAAGAGAACACAGCCGTCCAGAAGAACGAGCAGCCAAACTTTAGGTATAGAAAACCAAATTCACTGAAAGGTGTTCCTCCTGTCCTAAAGCCCGGGAGAAAAACTGGTTTTTTTTAGTAATATCGGGGATATCATAAGGGTGGGAGCCATACAAAATCCTTAGGGTGGAGTAGGAAATTAAAAAGACAGAATGTCTAGGGCAGTGTTGTCCAAACTTGGCCACTTTAAAATGAGTGGACCAACTCCCAGAATTCCCCACCCAGCATGGCTGGCTGGGGAATTCTGGGAGTTGAAGTCCACCCATCTTAGAGTGGCCAAGTTTGGACAACACTGGTCTAGGGAAAAGCCGCTCCAAAGAGTTGAACAGAGAGGGGTCTTGATAGGAGGTGCCCCTCAAAAGCCAACAACCTAATCCTTGTCTTGCATGCTGGCTGGATTCAAGTGAAAACTTTACCTAACAGTCAATTGTGCTGGTTGGGGATGATGGGAACTGTAATCAGACACATCTAGAAAGCACTCAGGTCAAGACAGCTGAACTAAGCTAACACACAGAGTTTAAAATTATGCCAGCACTGCTCCTAACAACAGCCTAATGTGATATTCATCAGGCTGAGTGCTCTTGACTCCTTCTTCCCACTCTTTAGATATCGTGCTCATCTCCCATCCAAGAGCTAACCGAGCCAGGCCCTGCTTAGCTTTTCTAGATCAGGCCAGATTGGCAAATTGCCCCCAGTTGGCTGGGCAAATTATAGATTATCTCACGATCAGTCTCTGCTGGCAGCCATAGCAGGTGTGACGTGGTCCTTCAATTGCAGGGCCAAGGTTTTCTAGGCAGCGCTGAAGGTGCTGTAGTTGTTAACCATTAAAGGAACGGGGGTCTTGCTGCAGGAGAAGCACCACCCAACCAGACATCAAGACCCACAAGAGAGGCTTTCGAAGGTCCCATCTCAGACCGCAGAGACCTTGCGTTGCCCCAAAGGCAGAGGGCCACTCCGTCGTTTGTACCCCGTCTTTGCTTTTAGAAAAACCCTAAAGGGGCGTCTCTGGAGCCGGGTCCTTCAAGACAAATGCTTCTCTTATTTGTGCTGTTAATATTTGGGCTGTTTCTCAGACCCGTTGTCCTTTTTTGCTGCTTCTGCTGTTCTCTTCTGAATGGTCAGTGCCGGGAGCCCTGCATTTGCGCAGAAAGGTAGCGTCTACCTCCAGGAAATAGATGACAATAAATCAGGGGCTGGTTCCCACCTCGGCTCTTTTCCAGCTATTCTCAGCTGTGCTGTTTGGACTCAGCAACAATAGCCGGAGCACGCCAGAGAAGCTGGCCAGAAACCGCCTGGCATCCCATTGTCTTATTCCCAGCTTCCTGTTTCTCATCTGGGGAGTCAATTTTCACCTGCCTATTGTTGTGAAAACCTGGGGCGGGTGGCCAGCACATTCCTCCTCCTTTAAGCAGGGGACTCCCTATGTTGGCATTACCCCCACTCTCTCTCTCTCTCTTTTTCTTTCTTTCTTTCTCTCTCTCTCTTTTCGGACTCTCATTTTTAGTACAGCCGGTGCCAATTACATTCCCAGCTGGACTTCCAAACTATCCATCCAATTATTTGCCCAGCTGGCACGCTGCTGGTGCAAAAAAGTCCTCCACGCTCACCCGGCAGAGGATGAAAAGGAAAGAGCTAGGAGGAAACAGGACGTTGGATGGTGGGACTGAACCACCAGATTGAGGGAGCCATGAGGTCTAGTGACTTGATCGCAGGGGAGTTATTGGAAATCAAGATCTTTGCATCGGGGGGAAAGAATAGGGCTGAATGGGTGGAACGAAAGAGAGACATGCTACCCAAGGGTGTTGATGGAGGGAGAGGCAATAAAATGAGTATCCACAGCAAAGGGACTGGACCAAGGACGATAGTATAGGCAGGAGCGTGGCAGAGATCCAAACTCAACCTAAGGAGGAATTTTCCTGACTCTGAGAGCTGTGAAGCAGGGGAACACCCTTCCTCCGGGAGCTGCGGGGGCTCCATCACGGGAGGTTTTGAAGCAAAGGTGGGACATCCATTTGTCTGGGGGTGATCGGAGGATTCCTGCCTTGGAAAGGGGGCTTGGGGGGCCCTATAAATGTCAGCAGTAGGCAGTTCCTGATTTTGCACAGCTTTGCAACGGGGGCGGGGGGGGAACAGTCAGCCAATTTGCAGGGTCTAGGCCAATGTTTCTCAACCTCGGCAGCTTGCAGATGTGTGGACTTCAACTCCCAGAATT